GGGCTTTAGATCAACACCCACATACAGACATGCAGGCATGAAGGCATGCAGACACCTCTGCATACAAACATGCAAACATACGGGCACACATGTCTGCGTGCAGTTGTAGATGGAAAGATAGATTGGTAGGTAGACAGGCAGACAGAGACACAAGGGCAGACAGATAGATAGATAGACAGACACATTAGTAGCATGCGCGCATATCCATATATGAGCGTTCGTCAAAACTTCTTATTCATGGCCAGTCCAGGGATGTTTTGGGGGGGCCCTATCGTTTTACCATGATTTCGTTACACGTTTCTGTGAGGTATCGATTTGCTCTTGTGAAAGTAAGAAGACCATCATACTCACTGATCCGACTCATAGCTTGCCCTGCCCTTTACCGCCCTTTGCTACCCTTTACTGCCCTTTACGTACTTTTGCTGCCCTTTACCTGCCCTGCACTGCCCCTGACAGCCTTTTACTGCCCTTGACCTGTCCTTTACTGCCCTGCCGCCTTTTATTGCTCTTTACTGCCTTTTACTGCCCTTTACCTGCCCTAAACCTGCCCTTTACCGCTCTTTACTGCATCAGAAATGGGCAGTGGGTCACGAAACAAAGTAGTGGTATCGATTAGGGTATCGATTGGGTATCGATTAGGGTATCCATTGCCTAGCCACATATCGCACGGAAGATTAAGGCATACATGCCGCGGCAGCACTGACTTCTCACAACAGATGATCTTTGTTGACCGTATCGCTTTTGGGGGCGTCCTTTCGCTTTCCAAGGAAATTGGCAAGATCCTTCATTCCACGGTCACCCTACTCTTAACTACAACTACGGAAGTTTTGACGGATGCTCATATGATATTGTCGGCCTCCACGAATTCATCAGGGTTGGCTGCCTGGAGCAAGCCGAGACCTCAGTCGGCTGCTCCTGTGTAACTGTTTGAAAGCCACCTCACATGTGCACCCAAATGACACTGAAACAGAAGGCTAAGTCAGCACATGGACGCACAGTGCACAAGGCCGTTCATGCAGGCCCATGCATACACTCGCACACGCGCACACACACACACACGCGCGAACACACACACACACACCCGCGCGCGCGCACACATCGACTATTACCATTTAACTACTACGAGAGTATTCTTAGTATCATTAACATTGATACTAATATTGATATTATTACTCCGAGTGTTACTATTATTACCAGTTTTACTGTCAAAACTTATTGCTGTTATTCGCGTTATCCCCCTTAACTGGGAGGAATTGGATTTGGATTGAAGTTCTGCTAGTGGAGATTGGGCTTCCCCCCCCCCCACCCCGACCCCTTTACCGCTCCCTTGCACGGAGCCTGCAGGGCCGGAGCCGAAAGCCAACAGGCGCCCGGATTCTCTTCCCCCCTCCCCCTCGCCGGCCCCCTTTCCTTCACACCTTGGGCCTTCCTATGAACTTGATGCCTAATGATGCCTAAACCTTAAAAATTCTGGGGCGGACGGCGCGAAGCGTTTAAAATTACTGTTAATGCTGTTCTTGCTGTTTCTATTGCTATGACTATTATCACTAGTACTGTTCTTACTCATGGACGTAGAGCAAACACCAATCAATTCAACAAATGATTCGTGAACAGGGAGCGCCAAGTAAGCATCATGAACCCTTTCAAAAGACGTCGAACGAAACTTCAAAACATCCTCATGCACAACGATAAATACTTATCACCATCTCTACTATTATTGTTCTGCTTGTTGTAATTCGTTGTTCTTATTCTTAGTACCTTTGTCCTTGCCACTGTTACCGCAGCTAGAACTACTGTTTTGATTACTACACTTGTTACCATCGTTAGTAGTACTGTTGTTCATATGGTTATTTCTATTAGTTGTCGTCTTATGACCATTATCAGCATCATTGTGTATTGTCACCGTTATGTTAGATTTAGATACACGTCTGTGCATGTCTGCATGTAAGTACGTATGCCTGTATAATGAAGACCATTTAACGGACCAAAGTTGAGATTATTAACTACACGAGTATACACGCATAAGTCAGATAAGTACAATTGCACTCGGAAATCCGCTTGAATATGCGGCAGCTGCCCAGCAGGCAATTCTGTTGTGGGTGTGAGACCTTAATTCTACAGCAAAGATGAAAGCGGCCCAGGTGCTGGAGAAACCGTACGGGTCCTCATCAAGCAACGTAAGTCGACACCGAGTAGGAGAAGCGCTTTGGAGTGGCGGTCCTTGATGACTACCGGAAATCGGATGTTGTCTTTCTCCTGCAGCAGACCCGGAAGGGATGGAATAGGACAGCAACAAGCAAGGATAGCGATTGCAAACTGACAAGGATCAGGGTTTTAAAGTGGGGCGCGACGACTCGAAGCACCAGAATGCTAAACGCTCAAGGCCTGAGGATCCTAGAAAACGTCGTGGTGACCCCACAGACAATGACAACTATGATTTCTGCCCACAACAGACTCAATACAAGATATCTTGACAGTACTAGCTAAACAAACAAAATGTCAAGAGCAGTACCAACAGCGAGTTCAAGGTCGACACAACTATGCAAGAGCGAGGCTTAATGACCAGACGGATTATGGCATTAACAAGACGGGTCTCCATGCTGTTGTTCATCGCAGCTTGCCTACAAGCAAGAAAGCAGCCTGAGTCTCCGCACCATCTTAGCCTCCTCCGCGCTCGTGATGACCCAGGTTGGGGGGATCTTCACCTGCATCGGGTTCGTGCTCAGGGTGCGGGTTTGTGAAGCTGCTTGCATTGCAGAGCAGGTAGAGAATATCTTGGTCGAACCCATGAGTCTAGTACAGCCCTTTTTGACACCACAAACAGCCCTTCCTCATGACCGAAACATGTAACGTCCTCATGCGTGCACATGCATCAAGTACCAACAAGTGCTGCAGTACTGCAACATGACAACACAGAAGTGGCGCCTCAATCTATGCAACGATAGGCCTCATTCTGATTCATGTCACTCCTAGATCCATCTCTGAAACATTGACCACGCTTAAGCACCGTTACGCATTCAGAAAAGCTCGGCTTCAAAACCTTTGATCCCGATGCCAACACTCTAGAGCTGGCAGGACGTTCGATCATCTGGCCACCAGGGAGAACATGTCACGGCAAAGAGTCCTACTCCGAGGTGGCTTGGCTGTTCGTAGGTGTTTGCTGTGACAACCCTGCTACAAGAAACGGGGGTCTCCACAGCTGTGACCCCTGCCAATGGTCCACAGAAGAATTTTCTGTCGCTTGCCTTCCGCTCGATGAAAAGGCGAGCCAACCCCACCTTTGCTTGCATGGGAATGCCATACTGATGGGCACTGCGTGGGTGCATCTTCAATTACACAAGCCACGGAAGAAAAGAACACCCTAAGCTTTCCACGTCCATGCTGACAGAGAGAAGCTCAGTTGCACGCTTTGTTTTGATAGTACAAGTAAGTCCCAGGTGGCGGGTACAACACACCGCCTGGCAGCCACAGGATAGTCTGACACTGAGACAAGCTTTAAGTCTGGCCTCGTCGCTCGAACTCCTCGTACCACTCCACGATTTGGTAGGGCAACCTCTCGTAGATATTCGTCGTGCATTGCATGGCGCATCTGCCAAACGCAGACAGAGGCATTCTGTCTACTTGAGAATCTCGGTGCGGGCTAGCGCGCACATGTACTGTACCCATATACTCCCATAACCACCGTCCCTGTTCTCCGGCTCTGCCGAGCGCTCCGAAGTCAGAGTCTATGCAATACAATTTTGTGTGCAGGTGCAGCCTCTTCTCGTAGAGCTCACCATCTTTCAGCGGGAGCTCGAACTCATGATTGCCACCGACTCGCCAGACGTACCTCCACGAGCACCAAGTCTGCTTAAGTCATGCGGCTCATTCACTGCTGGCCCTCGGCCCTCAGCGGAAGCCCGGATGCCCTCTTCTGCCCTGCCCACGCCTTGTGTTCGGGATCGTGTCCTCGGCAGCATCGATGAGGTGCGGCCTGCAGCCACAACGAGCAGCTACTAGATCAGCGGGGCCCCTCTTTCCATCGCACAACACAGGCAAAAATTTCAAACGAAAACAAAAGCAATCAAAAGAACATGAAACACTAGAGCTGGGGCCTTGCTACACCAGCCGTCGGAAAAGTTTGCAGGAAGAGCTCTCGGAAGACCTCCTGAGTACACAGCTGGAGGCATGGGCATGCGGAGACGATTGAGGCTGTCTATGGGCGGATCATCTTTGGTGCGTTTGCAGACAGACGTCCTGGTGCACCACGTGCTTCCCTCGGTTGAACCTCGCAAGCTTCCGGATGAACCGTCTTGATGAGCTGGGGCAGAAGCCGTTGCAGCTTTCCGTCCCACACACAGGGCTACAAAGCAAATCCAAGAACCGGACTCTATCCACCCAAACGGTGGCACCATGGGGAAGACCACTGCGACCTGCCCCCACGCTGAATCTTTTGGATGCTCTTACTGAGTCTTTCTGCAAACGCTGTGCACTGCCAACCCAAGACCGAGCAGTGGGCCATAGCACGAACCTTCTTGAGAGGCACGTTCTTCGGCCTGGGGTTTCATCTTGCGCGACTCCCAATCTCTGCGTGGTTACGGCCCACCCTTGACTAACTGGCTGCCTGCTTCGTACGACTCGCACCCGAAATCTGCTCGGAGATACAGTTGCTATTGCGATACTCTGTGCTTAGATCATTGCCAAGCCCAGACCCTACTTGTATGAGGTTGCTGCTTGAGTCTGCTTGAGGTCCTTCTTACAAGCGAAAACCTGAGGTCTGCAGCGTTGAGAAGCGAAGCATCGACTTGCACCACGGTCCCGAAGTGATCGCATGACCTGAAGTGCGAGACCCTTCTGCAGAGCATCTCCATGATCCGGAGAATTAGATGCCAAGGGTTTGTCGCGAAGTGGAAGAACGAAAGGACGAGGGCAATGGCAAAGCTTAAAAATGGGCGGACGGTAGTGATGTGTGTTCTACTTGTGTTGTTGTTGCTCTAGTTTTCCTCGCGTTTCCAGGCAAGCTAGGATTGGGATCTTCCAAGGAAACCCTCACGGGGAGTCCTGACGGGGAGCCGCCCTGACGAAGCCCCTCCTTACGAATGCGTCTGTGTGTGCTTTTCACAGCTGGGTTTCTTGCAGTTTTGCTACAACACCTCGTCTCCTGAACGTTTCAGTGGCGGTGGCAGTCGTGCAGCCGCAGCAGCAGCAGTAGCAGTAGTACGTGTAGTACGTGAAGTACTAGTACTAGTAGTACTAGTAGTACTAGTAGTACTAGTAGTACTAGTAGTACTAGTAGTACTAGTAGTACTAGTAGTACTAGTAGTACTAGAAGTACTAGTAGTAGTAGCAGTAGTAGTAGTAGTAGTAGTAGTAGCAGAAGAAAAAGAAGTAGTAGTAGTAGTAGTAGCAGCAGTAGTAGCAGCAGTAGTAGCAGCAGTAGTAGCAGCAGTTTTAGCAGCAGTAGTAGTTGTAGTAGTAGTAGTTGTTGTTGTTGTTGTTGTTGTAGTGGTGTCCTTTCCTCCTTCCTTCCTTCCTTCCTTCCTTCCTTCCTTCCTTCCTTCCTTCGTGTCTTTCCTTCCTTCTTCCTGCCTTGGCCTCTCACAAAGAAAATGTGGAGAAAAAAAACATCTGCCTGCAGTGTAGTCTCTGCGAGGGAGACGATTCTGATAGAACAGCTGAGCTCGAGACGCCAGTGGCTGAAAGCCCCGTCTCCTTTTTCGGCTATGTCTGCATGGTTGCTGTGGGCAGGTCCTCAAAGGCAACAGTGCGCGAAGTCACGGCACTTGCAAAACGATTCAAGGGTGCTGCTGAGACCAAAGCCCATGGGGTGGAACTGCTCCTTGTCATCTACGTGAAAAAGCTGAAGCCTCGGCCAGACAAGGAGTGGCCGCGCCACCCAAAACGATAAACATCACGGCCAGTGCACAGAAGGTAAGACCCCCGCCTGCAAAGTCACAATCTCAGGCTCGCGCGTGGATCTTGTCGATCGCCAGCTCCCAGACTCGTCCTTGGCAACTTCGAGGGGGCGTATAAACAGATCAAGCACGCCACGCACACCACGCCAACTGCGATTGCATGTAGGATGGTATGTGTGCAAGGCACGAACAAGTAGTACCTAAATACAAGTAGGGGCTGCACAGAGGCCTAGATGAATGAAAACACATGTACATACCTAAACGAATATCAACATACGTAACTACATACATGCATGTGCATATATGAAACCATAGACACTTATGTAAACATGCACACATATGTACATGAATGTGTATGTATACGTATGTATCTTTAAATTTTGCATATGATCTGGGGGCTTTTACTAAGTGCCAGTATCCCTATAACAGACCCCGAAACATAAACTCACCGATTTTTCCTAGCAGCGCTAGATAAATTCACCGAACACCTAATAACATGAAACTTACCTCATGAATATAGGCTGCATGTACACATGCGTACTGAAAACCGCCATACGGCTATAAATCCTGCATGACCTTAAGGATCCTAAACTATGGGAATTATGGTATGTTTGGGTAATGCAGGATTTATATCATCCACCGTAGTTTGCTCCATGCGTGTGTGAAAAGGTACCTCCAGACAGGCATACATGCTGCAAACATAATATGGCCGTACAACAATAGAATGACAATCAAAACACAAAATTGAATACGGAGGCATGCACGAATGCGGATACATACACACAGACAGACAAACAGACCGACAGGCAAAGGCACATGCATACACAGACGTATTTAAACAGTGTGCATATTCAAGAGATATTAGGTGAACATGTTGCACAGATATGTGCATCTGAAGATTGTATGTATAGACGAGTACATATAGACAAAGCCACACGTACGCAAGTACATGTGTCATTGTGGCTACTGATGTATGTATGTATGTACGCATGCATTCATGCATGCATGCATGTATTTGCGTAGGTATGTATAAGCACGTATGGGCGCATGCATGTATGCATGGTATCCAAAAGAGCATTCTATGTAATGTAAAGCCTATTCAAAAAATGTGGAGCACTCGAAGCACTCAACCCCAAAATGGGCACACATACACACACGCACCAAACGGTCAAATCCCTCGTCTCCGTTACCAGTGATCACGGGGAAATCCGGACAATCGTCAAAGCCGCTCGTTCTCCAAATATCGCGCCCAGATCTCAGCATGAGCCGGTATGGGGTTATCGCCTTACCGGGTCTGTGCGTGAAACCGATGTACAAAGTCAGCCGTTCTGACTACCTTGGTGTGATTCTGTATACCGCATGCGCACATTCATACGCTGCACATGCCGCAGCGCCTGGGCACAGTTCATACCTGGGGTAACCATAGAGACATACATGTCCAAAAAAACACAATCAAAACCTCCGTACATGCTATATATATATATGTATATATATATACACACACACATGTGTGTAAGTACGTCCGGACGCATAGCTACAAAAAACAGGAGTGCAAATGTGGCGCTGCGTACTCGAACATGTAGTAAACGCACATTCAGTATGTATGCGGGGCTATCTGCATGCTGGCCTGCCATGCCATGCGTGCCCATCCTCGGTCAACGCCGGAGGCTGGGCTGCCAGCTGCTACAATGTAGCGAGGAAAAGGCATCTCGTAAGCGAAACCGGTCGCTTTCTTAGCCTGGCCCAGAAAGACGAGCACAGAGGGGAAAATGGGGCGAGCCGAAGCTGTCGAAAAGCACAGGCAGACGCAGGAGGATGCTTCTCCGAAGGTCAGGTCCAAACCAGGCCTCAAGAAGGTTGAGGTGGAACACGAGCGCCTCGACACATAACAGTCACACTTGCATCTGGTCCGCATCGTGAGTCAGTCAGGTGGAGACATCGCCGCGCTTCTCGCAGCTCTTGACTGAGCTAGCCTCGGAGGCTGAAAACTCGCTTCGCCACTTGATGATGGAAGGCGTCTTCACGGATTAGCAGTGTTGCACCGGCGGTGCAGGGACTCTGGGACTCGTTGCCGGTTTTGACCGGATCGTCTCCAAATCTCTTTCGGGCACCTGCCATCGACACTGGGGCGAGACTTAGCGAAGATCGACATGACACGTTCATATCGGGCGTGCCTGCCGCCAGTTGCTTTTTGCACCCGATGGCATGATGCACTCAGCAGCGAGTACTCGATACCTCGGGATGATGCAAGATGGATGTCAGACTCAGACTTGCAAGCAACCATTGTTTGGACACACGCACACGCAAACGACTGCACGCCGACCCAGTTGTTCAGTGATTTTCAACAACTTTCAGTGATTCAGTGATCGGGCCATCCGGCCGGGATGTGATTATTCAGCAATGTTTCTGTGATTTTGCAGTCGGCCAGCCTAGCCCAGCCCAGCCCGGCCCGACCCAAGGCCCGACAGGGCCGGGTGCCACATAAGAGTAGTACGAATACTAATCGCAATAACGAGATGAATTACCATAGCAACAGCAGCGGTGCAGTAGCAGTAGCAGCAGCAGCAGCAGCAGCAGGAGGAGGAGGAGGAGGAGGAGTAGTAGTAGTAGTAATAGTAACACTAGCAGTAACAGTCTCAGTAACAGCAGCTAAAAGCAACAACAGTAACAGTTAAAGTTATAGTCGTGGATATAGTTATTAATGTAGTTATAGTACGTGTTCGCACGAGTATTCGTACTGGTAGTAGTACTCGTAAAAAGTAACAGCAGGTACTACGAATTCGAATCGTAACAGTATTGGTAATGGTAGTATAAGTTAGCAGAGACCATTTCCATTTGCTAGTCACGCATCACCCCCTAGCACCCAAACCATAACAACCTATACCTCAACCCTAAACTCACCAAAATACCAAAACCCCCATGATGAAAACCATACTTTGGAACCATGACCAACCCCGTAGAAAATTAACACAACTCCATAAACCAATTAATGATGTGCAGTTCATGCCCCCGCAGCCACTGCCGGTTGACGACAGCGAAAGAACCAGACAGGCTGTTTAAAGTGCATCCTAAACCCAGGAATGATGAGGGAAGCCTTTTCCTCATCAGCCAAGCACAACGCAGCAACCAAGACATCGAGACTACGAAGGTCAAATTTAACGCACTCATGCATCCAAGTCAAGGAGGCAGCGTTCAAAGGCTTCACATCGTCCGAGCACTCGTTGTGCTGGAAGACATACTGAGATCCAACTCGCCGACAGCGTGAACAAGCAAGCTGTTGTCTTATGTCCTGGCCTCGGAGCTTGCATGTTGACCTCGAGCCTTCATGCGAGCCCGAAGCTCCGGGTCGTCACGCTGCTTTTGGTGATAGCCCTCAGTTGGGGAGATCCCAGGATGTCTCTTCTTGAGGTGAGCCGCAATGCTGAGATCATGACTCTGGCGGTTAGGCAAATGCGGAAGACTTTCATGACAGATAGAGCATTCCCAACTGTGCACGCATCAGGAAAGCCAACACAAGTCTCCGCGACATAACCAACCGCACCCAAGCGTGGGACAAGCTTGCGTTCTTCAGCAGTGTGTCTGTTATGCATGTGACATTCCATTTTGT